TGGGGGGAGGGAGGGAGAGCACGCGCGGGAGGGGGGTGCCGCCACGGCCGGCGGGGCAGGCGCCCGGGGCCACGCGCTGAAAAAACCCCGACCCGGAGGAGATCAGGGCGAGGCGGGGCGCGCGCGCGCGCATGGGGCCCCGCCGACGGCCCACCGTGGGAGCATCAGCCTCCCCCTTCGCGCCCCGTGCACTACGCGGTCCGAGGGCACGTTCGCCCCGGGCCGATCATCAACTCGCCCAGGGGTCCCCCCCAGGGGAGGGAGAGGGGCACGCACGGCCGCGCCCGGGACCGGGGGAGGGGCCAAAAGGCCGAGGGCCCGGGCGCGAGCGCGGCCCGGCTCGACGGAGCCCGTCCCGCTGGCCGCCGCACACGCCCCGGAGGCCTCCCGAAATGTCGAGAAGGACGCACCCACACCGGGGAGCCCCCGCCGCCGGAGGTGACGGAGCCGGTGATGCAACGGGGCGCCGCGGGGCAGCCGGGCGTACCCCGCCGCGCGCGCGCGCGCCGACCTCCGCTCCCCTTGCGCCCTTTCTCGGCCCCCCCCCCCCACACCCCGGCCTCCGCGCCCCTCTCGCCGGCCCCGGGAGATCAACGCCAGGGCGCGCCCGCGCCCCCCCCCCGCGCCTCGTAGTCAGATCCCAACCGAAGTACGAGCGGGGCCCAGGTGCCAACGCATCGATAATGTATTCCCGCCGCCTCCTCCCAGGGGGGGGGGCCGGCCGCGCTAGTTGCCGAAGTCCTTGCGGAAGCCCAGCTGGAAGGGGCACCCGCTGGCGTGGCGCAGGGCATTGGTCCAGCGCAGGGCGTCGTCTATGGAGTTGGCTGCCATGTGGTGCACCTGCCCGGCGCACTCGATGGCGAAGCTGGCCCGGGGGCCGGGGGATAGACCAGCAGGCAGGACAGAGGGCAGGGGCGCGGGCGGAGGGGAGAGGCAGGCGGCAGGTCAGTCGGGCGCCCGCGGCATTGGAAGGCAGCGAGGAGAGGAGGGAGGGGGGGGGGGGAGTGCGGCAGCCGGCCGCGGGATGCGCACCGGGTCGCGTCGCGCGAGCTGATCACCACCGAGTCAATGTGCGTCAGGTCCCAGATGACGTCGGTGGCCGGCTCGAGGGCCTCCTCCCCCGGGCGAGGGGCGCGCTGATAGAAAGCAAGGTATCGCTCGTGCGTGTCCAGCACGCAGTACTGCGTCTGCCAGTGGCGCGACATGAGCCGGCCCCGCCGCCGGCGCAGGGTCCCGCAGATCATGTCGGCCGGGCGCGGCTCGATGCGCAGCTGGAAGTCGAGCGTCTGGTCCGAGTCGTAGTATTGTGCCGGGTATTCGTGGTCGAGGAAGATCTGCTTCTCTGCGTGTGTGTGTGTGTGTGTGTGTGTGTGTGTGTGAGGGGGGCATGGGAGAGAGATAGAGAGAGATTGGGAGCACAGGGGCGCGTAGGTGAGCAGAGACTCCCGGCCAGCGGACGGGACAGGCCGAGGGCCGGGGCGTACCCTTGGTGGTGTGGTACTCGGCGATGCAGTAGTCCTCGGGGTTGTAGTAGGCGCTCAGCTGCGGGCCTCGCCACCGACCCAGGCCGAGGGCGGGATGGGGCGCGAGTCGAACAGGCCGCGTCGGCCGGCGCGGCGAGGGCCAAGCACACCACATGCGGCGGCAGGGAGGAGGAGGAGGGAGAGGAGGAGCGGGGGGCAGGGGTCAGCAGCAAGGAGCCCCACCGAGAGCGGGGGCCGGGGCCGGAAGCGGCAAGAAGGCAAAGCAGCGCCCGGCGCCACTGAGCGCACCTTGTTCAGGATGACCGACACCAGGGCACGCGCGGTGATTTGCCGCTGGACGTAGATGGTCTTGGCGGACTCGCCCTCGCCCAGCTGCATGACCACTCGGATCATCATGCGCTCGACCGGGGCGCCCCCGGACACCGGGCCGGCCGGGCCCTGGACACCGAGCAGCAAAAGTGCCCCAGCCCCATCGCCAGGCGCCAAGGACGCCATGCCCGAGAAGGAGGGGGTCAGAACCGGGCGACCGGCCGAAAAAAAAAAGGGGAGGAGGAAGGAGGCAAGAAGAAACATACCCCGCCCGAGGGGACCAGCCCGGCGGAGGTGACCACCGAGGGCGGCCCGTCCGACTTGGACGGCCGGGCTGCCGGCTGCCGGGGGAGCGCCGCCCCTGCGGCCGCCTCTTCCACGATGACCGGCGACACGGCGCTGACCCACTCGTCCTCGAGCAGCGCATCCACCGTACACCGGCCAGCCGGGTCGTGCACAAAGCACCGGGCCAGGAAGGCCACCAGCTCGGCCGACGCGTGCCCCGGCGGCGTCGGCAGGCTGGTGGCCAGGCGCGCGGCCGCTGTGGCCGGCTGCAGCTCGGCCCACGGCGGTGCCCCGGTGGTGAACTCCATGGCCGTGCACGCCAGCGCCCAAATGTCGGCCGGCTTGCCGGGGGCCGCGCCGTCGAGGAGCTCTGGCGAGGCTGTGCCGCCCACATGGCAGGGCAGGGGCCGGAGCAAAGTGTCAGCACGGGCGGAGGCAGGAGCGCAGGACCGGCTGCGGCCGTGTGTCCAGGAGCGCAGGCGGACTAAAGACGGGTGGGCGGGGAGAAGAGCGGAGGGAGGACGATAAACGTACACCAGTATGGGACATTCAGCTCGGCGGCCTTGGTCAGGCCGAAATCTGGCGCCAGCAAGCGCGAACGCATCCGGCGAGCGGGGGGCCGGAAAGGACGGGTCAGTCACCGGGCAGACGCGGCCGAGCGG